TCTCAATTGCCGTGACCCGAATGTGGTGCGATCGAAGAAGATCGCGTGGGATGTATTCCTTTGCGGGCAACGGGTGGCTTCCTTTAAAAACTAATTGGTGCTATTGACGCAACCAATCCGAAGCAATTTTTTTAACGTTTGGCCGCAAATTTGCACCGAGAATGATGACATTAAAAGCAAAAGGATATTCAAACAAATTTATAGTATAGTTTCGTACGTATTTCGTAACTTTGTAGACAGTTTAACCATGTTCCGTGCTTTTAATAAACATGGGTACAAGTGCTTGAGATTGCATGAAATTTATCGTCAGTTTGCGCAATGAATACATAAGAGGAGGAAAATATCCCACAAAAAATGTTCGGGCGACTTCGTAAGTTTGAACGGGATCATGGGATCACGCTCTGTGCATTCCGACGCCAGCGTTTGCATTTGAAAGCAAAATATGAAGCAATAAAATTCTGATCACGGAGCGGCGCGGACCGCTCCCGGGGGATGTCCCTGGTCCAGATAACGGGGGTGGAAGGGACCGTTATTGCTCTCTTCGCCACGATTAGGTCTTACTTCGCATGCGCCCAGAAACGGTCGCGATTATTTAAATTCTTATGTATAATCATATACATATATACGTAGTGACTTTGTATAAGTTTATTTTGTTCATTTCTAGCCTTAATGACTAACAAAACCCGCATTATTCATCTATATACGAAGATTGTTTTAATGGGAATGTTTAGTTCAAAATGAAATTCGTTTATTTCACGCTCTTGGTTAATACCTAATTTTACGTAGTTAATACCCAATTTTCCAAAAGGTTGACAAACACATCTGGAACCCTCGGGTGTAGCAGATGTCCATGGGCGGCGGTATTCACTTAACATCAGGTGAACCGTCTGCTCGTTTGGCAACTTTTCACATAAAAAAATAATAATAATAAAATTTATTTATTTTTTATGGAGAAAAGGGGCAAACGAGCAGGAGGCTCGTAAAAAAATAAAAGAAACATTTAATTTATTCGCCAATCGAGTCTCCTTTTTCCGATGGATGCAACTTCCTTCTTTGCAATGAAAAAACCGATGACCTTGTTTGCTTATACAGCATCGGTTCCCGTTAGATATCGTCCTGAATAGAATTTGTAATCTGTATGAAAGTTTTCAGACTTTTGCCAAGGCCTCAATGGATTTAGTTTGATATTTTAGATAACTTTTTGTAAACTAATTATATGTTAAATTTATAACATCATACTCTCACTTATTATCGTAATAAGGACATCACCATTGGCTTCTCCGAAAAAGATAATCTCATTACAGAAAGAGTGAAAATTAATATATAAAATAATACATATGGACTTTTCAAACAACTAGCAAATTTTCAAAGTTTAATAAGCAAGTACTAATAGTTAACATTTCGATAGCTATAATTTTGTGAAATATTATATGGTTTTCTTTTAATTATCTTATATTTACCCATGAAACTGAACATCGGTAAATAAAACTAGAGAAATCTCAAATTTATTAATTTTAAAACTGCATGGCGTGGCGTATTGTCATGTTAGTTAAATATTCAACAGTTGCATGTAATCAGCGCTCATAAATGACAAGTTGACAGCGTTGCAGCAAAAATAAGCACTTATTGCATTTACCCGCAGTTTGAAGGAGGGTGAAATGGATAGCTTTGAAGTGAGACTTTTAATTTTAAATGAGCTCTTCGGTCGTTCAACGTTTACAGTGGATAAAATATAAAATGTACAAAATGCCTAATAAGAACATAGCGAAGCTATAAATCAAAAGGTCTTGCAATAATCTGTAATAGTCGGTCACGAAGTCAGATATTGCAGACTCAAGAATGCCAGATTTCGCCGATTAATATCGCACCTAAGTTAAAAATTGACAATACATTTATGTACTCGTTATAAATTGCAACATGCATTATATTCTTTAAATACTTGACGACGACAGGGGGGAAAGTAGTGGTTTTTCTATTTGCTTGAAACAGTAATACACTGTAAAGCGTATGTGAATGCGGTGGTCTGCCGAAGAGAGCTCACCGTGGGAGCGTCGCATTTGTCGGCGCGGCGCACGCCCGCCAAACGTGCCGTTTCAATTCCGCTAATTTTCGCTCCTCAACCGACAATTTCGCTTTAAAGGCGAAAACGGCACAAGAGCGCACTCCGCCGCCCACCTATAATTTAACTTCGGCGCGGGCAAACTTTTAATTCAGCGCAAGCGTTGTTTCCCTCGCTCTTGATGCTCCGCCTTCAGCGTATTGTGCCTAATGAGTTGCAACTGGAGCGTCTGCATTATTCATAGGCCGAGCGAAGAGGCCCATTCGACCGCATTCCTGTAAACAATAATTTCGCCCGCAAGAGAGCTCTCGTGACCGAGCTGAGCGTCAGAAATACAACACGAATCCAGGAGGATGCGCCAAAGCAAACAGCCGCCACCGCACAAATAGCCAAACGCCATGTTTGACCACTTAATAGAATAACATTTGCGCGATGCTCGGACAACACTCGATTGCGACAAATTTTAATGATTCGCTGAATTGCTGGCACATAAATTTCTACCACAGGATTGAACTTGCCCGGTGCACTTGTGTGAACTCTATGATATATATATATATCATAGAGTTCTAAATACGTCATTTGAAGTACGACCATTAGGCGATTCAATAACATCGAATAAATTTTACAGCATATTATAATGTCTCATCAAACAAGAGGTTAATATCGTGAAAGATATTATCTGAAAATACATGTGGAAAAAACCTATTTTGTTTTATGGACCATTTTACGTTGTGTAGTGAAGTTTATATTATCCTTTTCTATTACCGAACAAAAGGCTGTACATGAACAAACTGCAGTAGCTTCGAATTATTTTTATACATGTACAACCTTAAATAACATTTATTTCATTCTCTTTAAAAAGTATGCAAAATAAAAATAAAAATAAATCCCCAAGTCTACGATAATTTTTAAAACAGCATCATTGTTAACTCGCGTTTTGGGACCAATAAAAAGAATTTCGTGTCAAAATCGTGCATGAAAATGTGTCTTGTGAGACTGTTAAATAGGATTTTGACTTTGAATATATCTCTAGAGTAATAAATGTTTTTGTTTCAAGTAACAACGCGAATACTATTTTCTCCAGAGAGACGTGTCAACGCTGTCAGTAGCTATCAATGAATTTAGTTCAGTTTAATGAATTCATTCCCTCGGTTCCGAGTGTGAAAAGTATAAAAAGCGAAAGATTTTATAAAACAAAATGAGTTTTTATGACGTAAGGAAAAGACAAAGTACAATAAATTTTATCACTTTACCCATGGTTACATCGCTCCTAGAACTTAATACGTGCTCATCGATAATTTTATAATTCGCGTTTATTAAACTAGGAATGGATTACCATTTACAAAAAATGTAAGAGCCTTGACCACACTTTTTTATTACCTTGATTCCCCATTTACTCCTTCTTATTTAGCTCTCCACTTCCAATACCTTAGTTCAGTCAACACCAAAAATCTTCGCTCTAAACACAATCGCCTTCTGTTCTGTCCTCCTCATCAGTCTGATTTTATCCATTCCTCTTTCTTTGTTCAATCTATCCTTCTTTGCAATGAGCTTCCTCCCAAAATCAGAATGGCTAAGAATCGCCTTGCTTTTAAGAGAATGGCACGGAAATACATTTTGGGAAAGCTGCCAGCAGTTTCATGATATCGTCAGATAAAAATATGTATGCGTATATAATTATAGTACAGTATATATATATATATATATATATTTATATATGTAAACTTTTATTTAATTGTATTGTATTATGTATATATTTATGTGTAATTAGTAAAATATTTATATTTTAAATGTTTGTGCACCTACCTCAAAATCTCGGTACCACCCTAAGGTTGACTGGTAGAAAATGCTGACAGCATTAAGTCCACCTATGTACAGAGTTATGTGCATGAAGTCTTAAAATAAAATAAAATAAAATAAAATAAATTATACAAAATGATTACATATGACTTATATTTTTGTCAAGTTATAATATGTTCTCATTTTCATTATAGAATTAACTATAATTCTGAATCAAATTACTCTTTCAAATGAATAATAATGAATAAAATATGTATAAATTATTCGAATAACTCAACCCCGTACATAATTCATATGTCGCATCAAATGACTCGTGACACGTAAAAATAAGATTTTCGATATAATTCGAGCGTTAGACTTGCCGACGTAACTCGGACAATGTGAGTGTTACAAAGCCTCGTCCAGTGGAGTGGACAGAACGCCCTTGGCGAAGATAAAAGAATGCCACAGCCCATACCGGTCGTCTGCGACCGCGCGACTCGTCACCGTCACTTGCGTAGAGACATGGTTTTTGTCGCGACCGCTTGTTTTTGTCGGAGGCTTCATTCCAATTGGAATTTTATTTGAAAATTGTTACCGACAAAAACTTGCTCGTAACGGTTATTAAGTATCATCCTTCCTCAAATTACGACCACAATTTTTTTATCTTTTTCTCGGTAGAGTCTATTACGTTGATGTGTTCATAATTTTAATGGCACTTTAAAGTTTATCCGTTGCGGTTTTTAATCTTTCTTTTAGGTTTTAATATGTTTAAAATATTAGCGTCAATTTATTGTACTTGGACAATAACTGTGTCAACTCTAAGGGATGTAAAGCTCTCCATTGCGTGGAAAACTAGATGCCTAAGAACTATTAAAGAAAACATTGTTAGCGTTTTCTATCAAAAACGCGATCAAAAATGAGCGTGTCCGTCTCGGTACAGGATACCTTTGCCCCGCAATGGAACCATTATGTGAGCCATTTGAAAATTGCCAAAAGCATCGCGTAGAATGCACATTTCGCTGAGCCGTGTACTTCCGCATGCAATGGCGCTCTCAATATCCATTAGCATTATCTATTGAACGGGCTTCCACTTCGCGGCGCGTTATAATCTCACACCTGGGCCCCTGCCCACCCCGCCCGGATCACCGCACCGGACGAAATGCCGACACACTGCGAGGACGGCGAGAGGCTGCACCGATACCCCAGCTATAATATGAAAAGGCACCGTGCTCCGATCCTCGAGCGACGCTGCGGCATCTCCCTCGAGGGCGTTTAATAACACTCAAACGTTTACAAAAACTTGACGCGTCGAAGTGAGCCAACTATAGTGATGTGCCGAGGTTGGAGTGGGACGTAGTGCAAACTTACCGAATTCACTTGTGACTTTGGTTATGGTGGTTCTGAATTTAAGTTATGGTTAGTTTTTGATTGGTCAGCTCTGTTTGTAAAACACACTTATTAAACCATACGCTTACTCGTTTAAAAGTTGGCATGAATTTCCAAGCTATCTTATTGGGATTTTTCAAGCGAAATTGTATTTATACATACTTTGTATACAACTACAAGTTCGCTTGAAAAATCCTCCCAACATTCAGCTTAACACGCTGTATACCTACATGTTGAATTATTTAAAAGGGACAAGATGGTTTGGTCTGTAAGGTTAATTTTTAATATTCATTCTTTTTTATATTTAATTGTTAACTTTTAGATAGAATTATCGTTTAAGAAAGATATTATAAATTTTTTGTCTGTTTTAAAGGAAAAATGTGAAAAGACAATTTAGATAAAATAAGTTGAGATTTTCGTCGATGTGGCGACAGCCATTTAGCTTAGTGGTTAATGCGTCTGGACGCAAATGCGAAAGACGTGGGTTTGATTCCCGCAACGGCGAAATACTTTATCTACAAATTTTAACGGTTTTCATTTTTAAAACAAACATTTTTTTATTAAAAACTATGCACTATAAAAAAGATTACGTCCAATACCGTTTAAGACAATATCGCAGAGACAGCACTATGCTCTGAGTTTTTGTGAAGAATCTGAAATTGCATACGTCAACGCACTCAATGGGCCGTTTAAAAGCTTTCCGCTCCCCCCGCTCCCCCACACCGCGTCCCCCCCCCACCCCTCCAGCTACGCATCGGGGGCCACGTGGCACGCGTCTATTTCCGATGCCACCTTGACAGATGTACCCGTGAGCCTGTCGATGCGCCACAAAGAAGTGACAAATGTAAGAGATTAGTCTCCTATATGATCTACGCATACCGTTAATCTCTCGCGAGACCCTTGTGAAACATCTGCCACCTCATAAAGCATTCCGGTACAGTTACGAATGTGGCATCACACAATACTTCGTATGGTACATTGTGCCTCAAACTTTTATTAAATAGTTTTAACTATATATTGGATTTATCAATAAACTCTACTTCGTTGCGATGCGGTTTTCTTCGATTCAAGAGGAAGGTTTATATGTATAATTCATGCGTAATATAGTAGAGAAACACTGATAATTTTAGAGGTTTGTAATGCGATGTCGAATTAAAATTCAGCATTGCACCCATGTGAATCCGGGGCGGATCGCTAGTTTAGTATATAAAAAAATAACATTTCCCAAATTTATCATTATATTGATTTGGGGGAAACACTGTTTCATTTTTTTTTTGTGAAAAGTTGCCAAGCGAGCAGACGGTTCACCTGATGTTAAGTGGTTGCAGCACCCGAGGGTTCCAGATGCGTTGACTACCTCTTGACAATTGGGCTCCGGCCACCTCATTCAATAGACGAAGTTCGAAAGTATTATACTTCCACTTTACGGCGGTCTTCTGTGAGGTCGTGGTACTTACCCTGATGAGCCTGCACATTCGTGCAACAGCCGAGGCTACTGCATGGCCCTACCACCGCAAAACTCATTCATTACTTATTTAGATACTTAATTACACTTCAATGCCGTAATTATATAAGATATGACGGAAACTTATTATAGTCGTAATAATTGTGATTTCTGTAGCAAGCGGCACATGTTAATTTTCAAGTTTTTAATTTTTAGGGAAAAAAGCAAAATTTGTCCGAATCGAACCGACTACTCGGCATGCAATGACCTGCAATACTTAAACCACGCCGTCAAAGGTATTGCGAGGCTATAAATAGTTTCAGTTCATGTTTATATTACACATATATTTAATTATTCAATAGCAAGTAAGCTAATGCCTCACGTCGGATTTAATTAAAGCCGTGGTAATCCGGTGTAATATATGTATTTATTAGCGATTCGTTGTAGATAAGTGCGCACGCAGGCCGTATATTATAAATTACTCGACTCCTGACCTCGAGGCCTACATGAATAGGCGACCCAATAGAGTGGCAATAACACATAACTCCTCTCCAGATTACGGTAAGCGCTAGAAAGCATCTACTTTAAGGGAAACTGATGTCTTATCGTAAAGGGATATTTTTTTTGCATTTCTAATCCACGAAAGTAAATAGAGAAAATGTACTTTCACGTTAGATTTTAAATAAATGAGAAATATTTTAACGAATATTTCTAAAAGTTTTTGTAGTTGTATAGCAAGGAGAAAATTTCAACAGGCGGTAACGAATGGAATTGCAATAGGATTTCATTCGACAATCCCGAGGAGTTGTGACTCACTGTAGTACTGTTGCTTAGCTTATAAAGCAGCTTTGGCTGCAGGAAATGGCCACCTTAACTGGGTTGGTACCACGGCTTCGAAGAAGAAATTGTTAGAGAGATATTCATCATGCACCTTTGGGATGATAAAAAGCCATCAATGACTTAATCTCTAACGATATTGTATATTTCAAATATAATCCCGAAATGACACGGACTCAAATCGTAATATCTACAATTCGTGTCTGTTCACAAGGCTATTGTACCAATGTCCAAAACTGCAACGTCTTCAAAGTACGTAAGTTTTCTCACGTTTTTTGTTACTTATCCGCCGTCACTTTTAGTTGGTACATTTCAAGCGAAGGGGCCAATAGCTTTCAACGTGAGCATACTTAAGCGTATCGCGGCGTACTCGCGCTCGAAATAAAAACAGCGAAATCTCGACTTCACACTTGTAATAAGCTGCATATGTGTCACTAGTGGCGTTTGTGAGGCGGGGTGCGAGTGTTAGCATAAATGAGATTTCTTCTCTATTCTATAATTTTTGATAATTTGATTAGCAAAATTATTTGGTGCTAGACCACGACAAACATGTGTGAGTTTCACCCTATTCCAAGGCATTTATTTGTATAACTTATTTATAATAACCAAGGAATGAGGTGTAGGCTGTTCTGATAACTTTTATGATTACATCGCCACTTACAATCAGCAATAGAATAGCGCTGTCATAATTTACACAAAGACGTTTTTTACGTCAAAAATTTTACGTTTTTTTAACATAATAAAAGTTAGTTTTACACATGTCAACATCTTAACAATATCTCTAAAAACATGGAACATTACTCATTTTTCACTCTTGACTAAAATAACTAGAAGTAACTCTCGCTTATTGGCTTTGGAGTTAAGCTGTATGTGCCGTGGGAGCCAAACTTTGGCTACTAAGAGAATAGTCTGATACCTAAACCCGCGATCCCTTTAGCAATTCCATCAACCGGGCCAAAACTTTGTTAGTTGTCTAAATTCCGCGCAATGTACCATAACTCAGCATTGGTTAACGTTAAACATGTTGAGGCTCCGCTCGCACTATGACCGTCCGCCAACCGCTGTCAGCGCGTGTCTCGCGCCGCCGCCCTACACTGACAGCCCGTCGCGCTTATTTACGACAATGCGACACTCGACACGTGTATTTCGGGAGCGCAGTACAGACGCCCGCCACAGCGCAGTTGCTGTTTCGGCGCGGGAAATGGCACAGATAAGAAAGCTTCCCAGCGTGAAAGGGAAACTATCCGTTGCCAAGTAACGTGAACTGTACCTATTCAAGTATGACGATTGAGGTTCTAAAGACTTTTTAGGCGAATGTCAGTTAAACATTACGAGAGCATCGTGTGATGGCTAAGGGTTGTGTTTCGTTTTAGTCTATGGGGGGCTGTGTCCAACAGTTGACTAAAACAGGCTGATAATGAGCGCATCGTAACCTAATTGACTACTTGATTAAAAGTCAGAACTTAAATCACTTATACAGGGAGCAGAATACGACAACCCCGTAATTACAACCGCTTGTTGATTATAACGTTTTTGAGACCTTAAACAAAAAATAAAGCACTAAAAAATTATGTTACAGAATTGACTTTTATTGTACTTTTAATCATACGATTAATGTCTTGGAGAGGTACTAAAATAATAAATATTATTTAAGGTTGCCATTCCACTATGCTTCATTCATTAAATGAAAATCAATTGTTCACTTAAGTTGACCCAGAGCCGCCACGGCCGGCTCTTTCAATGAAACCGTGACATTCCCGCTCTTAAAGGCAATATACAAATGGTTTTTCAACATTTTACGTTGGTTATACTATTTACTTTATTTGATTTTATTTTTGGGCAAGTTTATAGTAATCTTTTTTAAATTTATTTAAAACAAAATTATGTAAATTTATTACAACAAGTAGAACCCATGTCCAAACTGATTGAGTTCCCCCGCTCTGAATTCACAAAATCTGAATAAAAGTAGAAACGTCTGCACTTGGTAATAATTGCAACCACAAATGCCAATCTTTATGTAGTAGGTACTACACAAAGTGCTTGATATGTAGAACACAGAAGTTTTTTGTATTTGTAGTGTAATCCGACCTAAAACACTGCGAGCATCGGCATTTATTCTAAGGGAAATCGGAAATTCCCGCCGGGATATTCTTGCATTTTATGTTAAAAAACACGCGCAGTATAATCCCTGAGTCCGGGATAGGTGCAAAATCACGGCATCCCGGAGCAAATAGTCCGGCGGCACGTTCGCACCAATAAAACGTCGATATGTATCGAGCAGTGAATAAATTTTCGCCACTAGAGGGGAGCGCGCGCTGACGCGATATCGCCTATCAGATTCCACACACCTGCAGCAAACGAGGCATTTGTTTTATCCCCGTAGAAATTCCATGACGCCTGTTGTATTAGTAACTATTACACGTGGTATCGCTCTGAGTAAATAAAAATAGTCATGTCACGGGATGAACTAAGGTGTTTTGGTAAGTTTTAGGTAACACTTTAAAACCACTTTCACATTATATACATTCGGTGCATATTGTTGAAGTTCATCTTATTATTTCTTAATCTTATTATTTCGCTAATTCATGACATTTATTAATTACGGATTCAGAACTCCTAATTATATTTGACTGTGCTCTTTTCCCAAATAAAGTCAAATAGTCAAATAACTACAAAAAACCCATTAAAAATAAAAATATCTAACACAAAAAGGAAACAATTAACTTATTACTTTAAATCTTACACCTATTCTACTTGCAATATAATTAAAACAAACCTACCTCTTAATAATATAATAGACGATATTATACACTTGAGTAACACATAGCAAACCAATTTCAATTTAACTCTTATCAATTGTGTATTAGGACTACCACTAAACATGTAGGGCTTGTACAAAATCCGATTCCAAGTATATACATGAGAACGCTTCCACGAGCGGGCGGATGTAGGTTGAATGAGACGGCTGAAACGTGAAAATCCGGCGCATTGTATCCGGGACTGCGGGAAGGAGAGTGCGCCTCTGCAGCACAGCCTCCGGTGCGACCAAGCGTGCGCGGAGCCGTTTGAAATGCAGATAGCTGGCAAATGGAATAGAATACGTCTGACTAGTATCGCATGTGGCCGTAATTCCACAGACTTTGTATAGGAAAAAAAAAAAAAAACAAACGTACATACTTCTGCTACTACTACACAAACATACGTAATTTACAAACTTGAGAAATACATTTATGACAATCAACGTATCGATAAAAAATAGAATATTCAAAGGATTTTAGAATTATACATTTAATTGATTCTCCACCTTTTACAACTACTACAATGACTCTAAAATTTCGGAGTCAACGTATTAATATTGTAGTGACACAAAAGTTAATAAATTCCTAAAATAAATCCGTTCTAAGGTTTGTCGATTCTTCTTACACATAATACCAAGTTTACATCCGGCCAATTTTTTATTAAACACACCATTGGGTGTGCATTTGTATATAAAGGGAAATAGACAGTGTCCGTTGCAGCTTAAATCCTCAGTACTGACAAAACGCAAACGAAACTATTAGCTAATATCACGTCCGTTAAAATCCCACTATCATGCAAGGCATTCTTCCATTTTAAACTATTTATGTAATTTTAAAAAACGCTTATTTCCTAAAACCTACGGTCTATATTGGCTTAATTTGGAGACTGTCTAACACAGGTGTCAAATGTCGGCATTCCTGTCTGGCTGAATACAAATTTGTTTCCATTGTGACGGGCATCGTCGACGCCGCCTCTGGTGACACTCTTTGTTGGCGTTTTTTGTGTTTCATCACCAAATGTTTGGGGCATAAGAATGCTTTTGTACGGAATGTACACTTAAAAGCTGCTATTTACAAATATTGAAGCTTCGTACCACAATAGGGCTGTTATAGAATAGAACTTTTTATAAAGAGCTTACAATTGCTTACGAAACGAATTTTTTATAGCATTTGTTGGTATATATGTACATTTATATTGGCAACACTTTTGCCCACATAACAATATGGCGAACTACTAGTATTACTTTCCTGTCGTAACTTGTAACTTGTAATTCTGTTTTCTTATCTCAATAAAACTAAAACAAAATGGTGTTCCTAATTTAATTATTTAACATGGTAGCAGGCCCGTGGTTGTTTAAAAAATGTTGAAAAGATTAAATCACCGAGAGGAAAACACCGTATGAAATATTTTTCCAAAGGAAGCCATCTGTCCAAAATTTAAAAATGTATGGAAGTAGAGTATTTGTAAGAATTCCTGAAGAACGGAGAAGATCTAAATGGGATAAGAAAGCAGAAGTTGGAATTTTACTTGGTTATACTGATACTGGATACAGAGTGTTAATTAACAACAGAGTTATCATTGCTAGAAATTGTGATATAATCGAGGAAGATGTTAAATTGTGTGGTTTTGAAGGTGAGGAAGAAAATAATACTGAATATAAAATAAAAGAAGAGGAAAAGGAAGATAAAAAGACACAAGAGAAAAGAGACACAATAAAATACTCGGCAAATGATGATACAAGTGAAGCAGAAAGTAAAGATAAAGAGCAAAATAAAAGACCAAGAAGACAAGTCAAACCTCCACTTCGTTTTGATGAAGAATTCGGTTATTACTGCATATCCTGTAATTACTGCGATGCTTTGGCTCCAACTGATGTTCAGGAGGCGACTACATGTAATGAGGCAATGAAATGGAAAGAAGCAATGAATAGTGAGATGGACAGTTTAATGAAAAATAACACATGGACTCTAGTTAACAAACCTCCCAAGGACAAAAAGGTAATTGATGTGAAGTGGGTATATAAAAGGAAGAGTGAAAATGAATACAAAGCAAGGTTAGCAGTAAGAGGTTTTCGGCAAACAAATTGTATTGATGATACTTATTCTCCTGTTGCTAAAATGCCAACACTTGAACTACAATTATTTTATTGTTGTCAAAATTCTTTAGTTATTCATCAAACGGATGTTGAAACAGCGTTCCTAAATGGTAAAGTACTATCTGAAGTTTATGTAAAGCAACCAATTGGCTATGAAAATGGAAATGATAAAGTTTATAAATTAAATAAATCATTGTATGGTTTGAAAGAAAGCCCCCGTGCATGGTATGAATGTTTTAATGATTTCTTGACTAATTTTGGTTTTCACAGAAGTAAATATGACTATTGTTTGTATGTTAGAAGGGAGAACAATTTAACTGTTTATATTCTTTTATTTGTAGACGATTTATTAATATGTTGTGAAAATGTCGAAGTTATTGCTGATATAAAAACTAAATTGTCTGAAAAGTTTAAAATGAAGGATATTGGTAAATTAAAAAACTATATTGGTATCGAGATTGAATATATATATAACCAAAATAATATCTTAACTTTAAGTCAGAAATTTTATATTGAGTCTTTGGCTAAACGTTATAATATAGAGAATTCAAAATTGTTTAAAACTCCTATGGAATTAAATTTAAAATTGGAACGATCCGATATTAATGAGAATGTAAAATATAGAAATTTGATTGGTGCTCTTTTGTATATTAGTTCGGGTACTAGACCTGATATATCTTACAGTGTAAATTACTTAAGCAGATTTCAAAACTGTTATAATGAGACACATTTTAAGTATGCTTTAAGAGTTTTAAAGTATTTCTATTTGACAAAAGATCTTAAATTAACATATTGTAATAATAGTAATGCTGATATTTTAGATTGTTTTGTGGATGCTGATTGGGCAGGAGATATTTTAGATAGGAAATCTACTACAGGATTTGTCATTAGATTGTTTGGGAATATTATTTACTGGAAATCAAAGAAACAAAGTAGTGTAACAAAGTCTTCAACATTTGCAGAATATGTAGCTTTATCAGAAGCAGTAACAGAATTAAATTTTCTTATTTGTCTTATGAATGATGTCTTCACTAAAATTTGTAAACCAGTTAAAATTTATGAAGATAATTCAGGAGCTGTAGCTATCTCCAAATATGGAAACTTTACAAAGAATTCTAAGCACATTGAAGTTCACTATCATTTTATACATGAAAATGTTAAGCAAGGTAGTATTGAAGTTGTAAAAATAGAGTCAGAAAATAATATTGCAGATATATTTACAAAAGCTTTGGGTAATGTTAAATTCACTAAATTTAGAGAAATGTTAAACTTAAAGTAGTAAAATAAAGATTGTTAATTGATAATGACTGTATTAAGAAACTTTGTCGTAATGTTTTACAATATAAATGTAAGGAGGCGTG